TTTTGTACCACTGTAAATGAATTAAAGTGGTCATTTCTTATTTCGTTTGGTCCTAAGTTTTACGATGTGGTTTTTGTTCAGGGTGTCTTCATTTATAAAGTCCTAAATTTTGTAACACTGTAAATGAATTAAAGTGGTCATTTCTTATTTCGTTTGGTCCTAAGTTTTACGATGTGGTTTTTGTTCAGGATGTCTTCATTTACTTTTATTCTTTCCAAAGTGGGGCAAAGGAAGTGGGAGAAGGGTTTCATAAGGACAATCACAGTAACTTTGTGCTATTACTATGGACATAATATTCTACTGTACATCATGACATTATGACGTTACATTGTATAAGTCAGCGTGCTGTGATGCCACTAACTCTTGGGTTTCCAGTATTAAACATGTGTGTCTTTATTTTCCAGCATCTGACTTGTGCATTTCATTCCAGATAGGGTGATATTAGTTCACTGGTTGATTGGCTCATTGAAGTAGAAAGATGCATGCGTGGGCTTTTCTTTAATAACAGACTTCTTCAAGGGTTGTTGAACCTCATTCACCTCCTTCAGGAAAGTAAATCCGAGGAACAAGGTCAGCTGAGGTTGGAGGTGTGTGCGCAGGTCTCTTGTCGTTTAAGCATTCCAGGAATGCAGTGTCCTGTGCTTCAAAGTTGCAAAGATGTTTGGCAGGGAAGTGTTTGACTTGACTTTGTAGTGAGGCCTCTCAGGATCAGGCTATTTTTCTGAGAGTCTGGAGGTCCAGTTCATTGTGCCAGGTCACAGGAAGGGACTTGGAAGGCCAGAAGAGGATAGGGTGGAGACCAGAGGCGCAGGGCATCCGAGAGGGCAAACTCTCCATCCACCTCCCAGATCTCAGCCCTGCCCGAATATTAGAACCACCTGGGAGCTTTCAAAAAAGACTGATGATGCCTGCCCCCTCCAGACCAATGGAATTGCAGCCTCTGGCGTTTGTAGTATTCTTTAGAAAGCTCTTCAAATTATTTTAATGTGTGGTCAACGTAGAGAACCACTGGCTGGCTTGTAGCATGCACACTGTGGCCTCTAGGAGTTCACGTGTCCTTTAGGAAGGAAGTGGGGGCTGGATGTCCCCTGGGATTGGTGGACTCACAGCATCTCACATTCCTCTGGAGGCTGAGAAGAGCAGGGACAACTTCCACCCAGATTCCATTGTTTTTCCACCTCTAATATATGTAATTTGCTCCTACCGCTGAGTGAGTACAAGTGGAAGGTAGTACTAGGAAGTGGTATTAAATAGCAGAAAAAGAGGATCTGAGAGGAAAAAAAAGTCATTTATTAAACCAAAAAACACACACTTGGGACCACAGACAGATTGAGGCAGACCTGGTTGTGTTTGTTTAGCACATTAGAGTTTACACTATCATTTTACGTATATTTTCTCATCAGAGCCTTTAAGCAAGCGTTTGAGGTAGGCATTGTCACCATTTAACAGATGAGGAAACTGAGGACCGGAAGAAGCAGAGAGGGCCAGGATGACATAGCTATTATGTGGCCAACTAGAACTACAACCTGTCTAGCTCCTGATTCCGAGGCTTACTCAGCTTCCCTGCAGCAGCTTTAAAAGTCTGTCTTTTTAAATTTTTTAAATTATTTATTTATTATTATTACTATTCGGAGATAGAGTCTCACTCTGTCACCCTGGCTAGAGTGTAGTGGTGTGATCGTAGCTCACTGCAGCCTCAAACTCCTGGGCTCAAGCAGTTCTCCCTCCTCAGCCTCCCAAGTAGCTGGGACCACAGGTACGCACCACCGCACCTGGCTAATTTTTCTACTTTTTGTAGAGACAGGGTCTCACTCTTGCTCAAGCTAAAAGGCTGTCTTTGATTTCAATTTTTTTGGCTTTGATTTATAAGACAAGACCCTTGTTCTCTTGACTTATTCACAGACATTTGAACACTTGAGGCAGGAACACTAACTGGTGAAAAACTGACCAGGGAAGATGCAGGCCAAAGAAGCAAGAAAAAAACCATCACACAACCCACTTTCCTATCTTTTCATTTACAGGTAGATTGCATTCAAACCATCTATACCTTCCTAGTATTTGTCTATTACAGCAATAGCCAATGTTTGCAGAACGCATACTATAAAGCTGGGTTTTATGAAAAGTAATTCATTTAATCCTCCCAACAAACCTATGACATAGGTACTATTATTGATTCCATTTTCCAGGTGGGGAAACTGAGCTCCAGATTGCTTAGGCAACTTACCAAAAGTTACATAACTAGTGGGTGGTAGAGCCTACATTTGAATCCAAACAGTCTGGGGCAAGAGCTCCCACACTTACCCATTGTACTGCGCTGACTCTTGTTCTACAGCCCTGCTGATGGGAGGTCCCACTCTGACTCTGGGCTTTGCACCATTTCTACCTGTTTCCCTAATTATAATATTCATTTACATTATGCTTTTATCCTACATTAGGCATTTGTTCCAAGGGCTTTAATTATGTCACTTATTTTCATTATGCTCAAGAGTGGGCCCCAGAGACAGCACCTCATACATAGGAAGGCTGTTCCCCAGCTCCTGGCGTTTCTTACCAGCATTTCTCTTTCTGCAAGGCCTCTTGGGCCCTTTCCAAGGCTATAAAGGACTCTAAGGCCTTTCGGTGACTAGGGAAGAGAAATCCCTCTGTGCCCTCTGTGGTCATGGTTCGAACTCCATCTGCTCAGCCCTTCCTCCTGGTTCTTGGCGGTGCCATCTCAGTCACCTCCTCTTGAGTTAGTCTTGCCTTCTGCCACAGCCTTCTCCCAACGTCTAGATAGATGGGCCATCCACTCAGGCCTTCCAAGGACACCTTGATTTGTCTGTGCAACCAGGCCAAGCCAGAGGGTGCAGGATTTTGCGCTGGGCCGAAGCTGTGGGATCCCCGCTTGCCGTGCCTGGCAGATTGAACATCCGATGAGCCGTGACATTACATGACCTCACTGTTAGGTCCTGCTGGGAGCTGAGGACAGGCCAAGTAGAGCTTCTTCCAGGTGGTTCTGGAGGATTCATGTGAGGACTGTGCCGCCCTCCACTCCCAGTTCCTTTCTGTCAGGAGGATTTTCCCTTGTCACTTCCCTCTGTCCACAGCTGCTCCCTGACCCTGCTCCTGGCTGGGTCCTCTTCAGCCTTCAGAGTTCAGGTCGGCGCTCAGGCCCTCACTGAGGCCGTCACGGCTCACCCTCTTCTTCTCGGCCCTCAGCGACTCTCCGAACATCATTCTTATTTCCTTTTCATGCTCTCAAATCGTCATGTGGATTTATTTCTTCACTCACTTATTGCCTGTACTCCCCGTGAAATCGTAAGCTCCCAGAGAACGGGCAGTTGTCTGCCTCACTCACTGCTGTACTGTGTACCCAGCTCCTAGCAGCACATCTGGCCCAAATTGCGTGTTCAAGAAATATGTATTAAATGGAAGAATTTAAACAAACCCTTGTCATTGAAGGTGATGGTATTGACACTTCTGCCAGTAGCCAATTTTCAACATCCCGGTCCTGCCGACGACCCTTTCTAATTTATGTCTCCCACATCTCCTAAATAAATCCTTACCTTGTTTATCTGTTGTTATTTGTGTTGGCTAAGTGACTCTGGGCCTGTCCAGGTCTCCTCAGTTTCCCCGTGTTGAATGAAGTTGCTCTGGTCACTGTGGACACCTTCTTAGTGAATAAAATCAGGAAGGCATCTGGGCTGTTGGTTAAGGGGGAAAAGTGTCACTGAGGAGAATGGATTCTTTGTTGTACCTCTGTTGGAAACATGTGCGTCAAATGGAAAAGTCCCTCGAAGGTTTAAACAGCTAGAACAACATAAGCATGCCCTAGGCAGTGTGCTAGATGTCTAGCAGCGTGCACAAGCAAAGCTTCGCCACTCAAGGGGTTTTCTGTCTCTTGGCAAGAAAAAGACACAACGAGAAGACACCAGCATATGAGGCAAACATTAATTCAACAAAACGTGAGATGACCAGTACTTTGTTTATAGGGAAGGGTGGTCACTGGGGTCTGGAAGGTTTTATGGGATTTAGTCAAGGCCGTGAAAGACAGGGAGGATTTGGGTAAGTTTACTTTTGTGTATTCTGTAGCCTTGGTGAGTATTCCGTGTGCTCACTGGTTTCTCTGTTCCCTCTAGGTGCAGCCAGCCGATGCCCCAGTAGTTCTCTGGCTGCAGGGTGGGCCGGGAGGTTCATCCATGTTTGGCCTCTTTGTGGAACATGGACCTTACGTTATCACAAGTAACATGACCAGTGAGTATTGCTTGGACTCTGCTTCCTATAGAGAATCAGTCATCTGAACCTTCCATCTGCTCCAAAACCAATTTAGAGTAAACACTGAACCACTAGGAACAGCTTGACTGTTCTAGATTATAAAAACACAACTTTCTGGCAATGTCTGTCTAAGAAGGAGGAGCCACCAGGGCGAGTGTCCTGCCTGGGCTGCTTTCTCCCTTGGAATTTGGGTGAAAGGTTTTAAGCTATTTTCTCGTAGTCTGCAGCTGACTCAAGCATTCTTGGCTTACAAAAACAGTTGGTATTTATTACTATTTGGAACAGCTCTTTTGCATGGGAATAATGGGTAGAATTATATTCTTAACTATTCACGTGAACTGAACACATTATGGGGTTCAGTCCGTCTACGATCTGGTACCTTGCAAGCAAGATGCTAAGGGTGGGGCCAAGGTGGAGAAAGAGCAGCATCTGGCTATAACCCGGGTTTACCTTCAGCACATTTTTTTTTTTAAATTTTGGGAAGATTGTTTACTTTCCCTGGGTCAAAATTTGGAGTGTGAGCCAGCCCAGCTTGTGACTCAGTATAAAGGCTTATATGTCAATTTTGTTGAAGTTGTTCTCTTCGGGAGAGATCGGACATTAAAGGTGATTGATTGGATTGGATTGGAAAGTTGGCAGTTATCATCGCACGGGTAGGGATGGGTGTTTCTTCATGTACCAGTTGCACAGGGTTTTGTCTCCAAGTTTCATCTTAGACATAGGAACCGTCTGGGTCGGGGGGGAGCAAAGGAGAAGAGGGAGGAAGGTAGAGGTGCTGGATCCTGTTCCCCACCATGGGAGAGTGAAGCAACCTTAGAGGGGCCACCACGAGTCCTGAGGACAGGTAGGGGTGTCGGGCACCTGACCACAGCGAGGCCTCGGGTGGGATGTTTTGTTCACAACTCCGTCTCATTCTTCTCCATTTTCGCAGTGCGCACCAGAGACTTCCCTTGGACCACCACGCTTTCCATGCTTTACATTGATAATCCAGTGAGTACAAGACCACTCCATGAGATGTCGGTGCTGGCCTCTCTCATCTCTCTTTTTTTAAATTAAGTACATTTAAAAAAATAGATCTAGTTTTCCCCTTTAAAATAAAAATTAATCTATAAAATTAAAACCATTTTGAGATTTAGTTTTTCTGTTTATTTGTATCATCATATGTGAGTTTGGAACTTTTTCTTTCTGCCTTCTCTCCTGTCCTCATTTTTAATCCTATGAAATATCCTGTTCACTGAATTATACCACCCGGACAAGGGATTAGTTTCTGTTCACTAATAGTATGGGTTCCCATGTCATAGGTTATTGCATAGTATCGGAACGCCTAATCTTTCACGCAGAGTTCTTAGTATAAAAAAATCAAGACTGATCTCCTTCACTTATGAAGGCAAGCACAATGCTGTATCTCAGGAGAAAAAGTGATAATCTCCTGGCCAGGCACGGTGGCTCATGCCTGTAATCCTAGCACTCTGGGAGGCCCAGACAGGAGGATCACTTGAGATCAGGAGTTCAAGACCAGCCTGAGCAAGAGTGAGACCCCACCTCTGCTAAAAATAGGAAAAAAAATAGCCAGGTGACTAAAAATAGAAAAAATTATCAGGTGTAGTTGTTGGTGCATGCCTGTAGTCCCAGCTCCTCAGGAGGCTGAGGCAGGAGGATCCCTGGAGCCCAGGAGTTTGAGGTTGCTGTGAGCTAGGCTGATGCCATGGCACTCTAGCCCAGGCAACAGAGTGAGACTCTGTCTCAGAAAAAAAAAAGAAAAAAAATGTGATAATCTCCTTGGGTAGCTCTTATGAAATTGGTTCTAATAAGGTGCAAAAAAGGAGAGTAACTTAGGGCCAACTTCTGCAGATTTGGAGATCTTTGCTCCCTAACTGAAATCTCTAATTTCTCTCACTTTTCAGATGGTTCAAAGAGAAAACAGATCAATAGGAAGAAAAAAAATTTAACATGTTTGTTCCCTCACCTTGTTTTGTCAACCCTTTGCCTAGTCTCTGTTGCGTGTTTAAATAGATGTCGAATTAAACGCCTATACCCTTGGGTGTTTAGAAAACAAAAATGAAAATGAAAGTCTCTACACTAGATGAAGAGTGCATTCCTTATACAAATTATCGATGCAAAATAACTAGTAGCTTCTTCTTTTGATTTACAGCTCAGTTGTCTATGAACTTCTAGGTACAAGGAAATATTAGTTTAAAATTAGTCTTAATTATTTTAAACCTCTTTATCTACTGAAGCTGAAATGGCTTAATGGCCATATTTCTCATAAATAAAGAGGAGGAGGACGAAGACCAGGACAAGGAGGAGGTGGAGGACCGTGTACAACTATTAATATATTTTATCTCCAACCTAGAAAGTTCCTTCTTGGCAGGGTGAAGCAATGCATACTCCAGATTTCAGAAAGGAGACAACTTTTCATACTATAGCAGAGGCCAAGGAAGATGAATTCTTCCTCCTTAAGTCGACACCTGGCAGGGTCCCCACTGAGGAATCGGGACAGCTTAGCCACTGAGTCCAGGGCAAAGCTTTGTGCTGACATTTTACTTGGGCTTTGGGGGATGGAGAGAATAGGTGGAACTCAGTGTCCTCTTGAGGGAGGAGCTCAAGGCACATGATGTGACAGCAGAAATCCAAAGTCAGAGGCTTGGCCTTTGGGATAAGGTCACCTTCCAGTATGGGACCTCTCTGAAGGTCCCCAAGGCATGTGTTTCTCTGTGTTTATACTTGCTTCTTTATTTCACCTTCAGGTGGGCACAGGCTTCAGTTTTACTGATGACACTCATGGATATGCGGTCAATGAGGATGATGTGGCCCGAGATTTATACAGGTAAGATGCTCTGCCTTTCTCTTGGCCTTCTTCAGACCAAATATTTTTCTATCTCAATAGGAAAATTTTGGCTGGGCACAGTGGCTCATGCCTGTAATCCCAGCGCGTTGGGAAGCTGAGGTGGGAGGAGGTCAAGACCAGCATGGAAAACATAGTGATACCACATCTCTACAAAAAACAAATTAGCTGGTTGTGGTAGCACCTGCAGTCCCAGCTACTCAGGAGGCTGAGGCAGGAGGATTGCTTGAGCCCAGGAGTTTGAGGCTGCTGTGAGCTATGCTTGTGCCACTGCACTCCACTCCAGCCTGAGAGACGGAGTGAGAACCTATCTTTTTAAAAAGAAAAGGAAAATTCTTCCAGTGTAGCATTATGATTGATTGGTCCTCTAGTCCAATTCCTGAAGATTTTTTTAAGGATATCTCTACATGTGGAGTATATACACATACACGCTATCTCTCTTTCACACACTCACACGCTCTATTTTCCACTTCGTTGCATCATCATTGATAATTGTGAAAGTGACCAAAAGACAAAGTAACAAGAAGAGTTGAAATCTTAGGGCATAACTATAGTTTGCAGAAATATCCTTTAAGAAACAATAGAGACAGAGCAGACCTTTCAACCAGATGCCTGAGAGGTTTCTGCTTGTTTTCCAAAATTATATTTAATTTTGCATTTGCCAGGGGACATCATCTTTTCATATATTGGTTTGTTTTCTTTCCCAAGATTCCTCTTTTTGTGTGGCCTTCAGATGCAATATTTTACTCTCTTGCTCCTACTTCTTGACTTTTCCAGGCTGAAAACTTAACTTATTAGCTAGTCTCGGCCCTTTTCCCTTCATCTTACAACATTTTTCTTTCCCTTAAAAAAAAAAAAGGAAAAGTATAAAGTGGTAATCCTGATGAAACAGTGTACATATAATTTCTCCCTTTCTTTTACTCATGTTCATTAAAACTATTTTTGGTATTTTTTTTAAAGTAAGTGACCTTTCTTATTTGGTCAGATTTTTCCAGTCTATAAATTATTACTAGAGAACAAGTCCTGAATTCTTTCAGGTCACTAGGGCCCCACTTTATGCATTTATAATAATTTACTAAAAGAACCCTAATGGCCAGAAGGAGTTAACTAGCTCCCCTAGCCCCCACCTCCACCAGACACTGCTCATTACTAGGTGAGCAAGCCCAGCCAATCTCCAAAGTGAAAGTACATCTAAGAGCAGTCAGAGTTTTCTGATCTCTGACAAAAGCTTTCAGTTTTACTGCTTTCTCCCTGAGGCAGATGGCCGGGGGAGAGAGGGAAGAAGAACTTCTGGGACTTTCTCCCAAAGATGTCTTTCCCTGTGCTGACCCAGAAACGAATATGGCTGTTGTCTTCTCCACTTTCGTTTTCCACGTGCCCCATGATTTGCACGCTTCTATTCAGTTTCCAGGGGGGATGCCTAGGACCCCACACTCCTGCTTCCAGGTACAGTGGATCCTCGCAGGGAGGCCTCCAGCCTCGCCGGCACCTCGTCTCCTTCCCTCCACAGACCTACCTGTGCTGGGTGGGGATCCTCCCCACCTGTTACTCACCAGCCAGGTCTCTCCTCAGCATTGTGTGCTCTTCTTGTTCTTGGGATCCCAAACCTGCCATCCCCAACATCCCCCAACCCTCTTTTGGCTTAAATGCAAACAAGCTCAGTTGTTTAGCAAACACCCTGAGAGCAGAGGGTCTGTATTGAAGAGATGCTTCAGCCCCCTCTAAGTCAGAGCTTCCCAATGCTGCCGGGCCCTGCCCGTCTCTCCTTCCCCTCCCCAGAGATGGTTACAGCTTCCAGTCGACCCACCGCGTGGACGTCTACTGCTGACATGCGGTACATCTCCTCTTGCATGGCATGTAAAGAGAACCTATTTCAAAGCATCCATTGTTTATAGCTGTTTTAGTTCTTTTTGCTTCAGGCTCTTAGAACTGGAAAATAGCTAATCAAGGGTAGTGCAGAAAACTGATTTCAGCTGTTTCCTTTATAGTTTACACTGTTCGTTTCCTTTGTGACCACATTCTTCTCTCCAGCTCTCCAGATGGGGGTTTGAAATGAGAAGGTGGCTTTGAAACCTGTAAATGGGATACTACAGGTTTAAAGAGTGGACCTTGCTTTTTCTCCCTTTGAGAACCATATTTTTTTTTTTCCTGAAAATCCCATTCCTTTTGACTATTAATAGTGCGTGGCTGTAAGGAGTCACCTCCTAAAAAGGCATTTACCATTCACGTTTATGCTGCTTTTCTTTGTGTTTGGAAATGAAACTTTTTCACTAACAAGATGTTTAAATACTCTCTCTCTCTCTCTTTTTTTTTTACCCTATTTGGAATGATCTATTGAGCCACAATGCCTCTCTGGTTTAGAAAAAAAATTACTGAAAAATAATAAACTTACTGACTTGGTGTGTACTAGCTGGTGCCCCTCTCCTTCTTTGTCTATTTATCAAGTGCCTACTATGTGCCAGACACTGTTCTTGGTGCTGGTGATACAGTGGTATCACCAATCCCCAAAGTCTCTGTTTTCCCGATGCTTACATGCTAGCAGGGGCCTGTAGTTATTTTCTTAGCAGCGCAGTGGAAGTGCTGTCGTTCTATCCCACGTGTCGGTGTGTAATGGGAAAGGATATGTCTTGCTAAACACGGCTTCACAGCAATGCAGCTATGAAGCAGGCTTCATATATTAAATGAGAACAGTGCGTGATCCGGGCTGGGGGAAGAGGATCATGGCTCAGCCACACGGGATGTGGAATTGTGCAGAAGAGGCTCCCCTCCCGTGCTCCGGCAGAACCACGCCACCACTACTCTTGCTGCCCAGCTCGTTTCAGTCCAGTGGCAGTGACTCGCTACATCTTGCTAGGCTTCTGTTGGTATGGGGCCTTTGCTTACATTATTTGAACCCCAGTTCTCCTGATCGTTGTTTGCACTTATTATGCTTCTAACTCCATTGGAACTGACCAAATTTTAGTGCTATCTTCAGGTCTGTAGTGCATGATCATTTCCACTGACCTTCTCTGCTCCGCATCTACCCACTTCTCTTTTTAAAAAATTGTCCGGGGAATAATTTTCTCCTAGTCATTTTTCCTTGGAATCTCTGTTTCTCCTTGCTGTCCTTTAATGTATCTTTCTGCCAGCAGATAGCCTTTAACTGAATTCTATTTATTAGACAAATCCATGGCACAGTGCCAGCAAGGTTGCCAAGTGGAATCACCAGGAAGAGGTATACTTCCTGTGCCATGCGGCTCTTGTACTTAAATAAACTCGTGGAGTGTGCACATGCACACACACGTGTATGTATTAGTCTATACTTTAGCAATTCTGCTTCTAAAATTTGAAATCTCATGTGGGCATGATTCTAGATTCTATTTTCAGGCAGACCCTCGCCATGTAATAAGACTAGTTTTTTACTAAAATGCTGTTAAATGAGCAAATGGCGTATGTAAATCTAACTTACTAAATTTACCTTTTAAATTCTTCACTCCTGTTTAGGAAAGACCAACCAAGCACTTGTCAAAACAAAATCAGCCAATTTTTTTTTTTTTTTAAGAGACGGGGTGTTGCTTTGTCACTCAGGCTGGAGTAGCATGATCATAGCTCACTACAGCCTTGAGCTCCTGGCCTTGAGGAATCCTCCCCGCTTGGCCTCCCAAAGTGCTGGGACTACAGGCTTGAGCACTGTGCCTGGCCTCAATTTATCTTTCTGATTTAACTGTGAAATTAAAACTCTATGATAACTTCCTCAATTGGAGCCTTGCCTTGGAAACTTGAGCTAGAGAATCCTGGCATTTTCCAGCTAGAAGTAACCTGGGAGATTATCTCCCACTAAGATTGCCAGATAAAATACAGAAAGCCCAGTTACATTTGAATTCCAGATAAACAACAAATACATTTTTAAGGTAAGTATGTTCCATGCACTATTTGGGACACATTTAATGCTTATATTTTACTAAAACATTTTTGTTATTTATCTGAAATTCAAACTTAATTGGATGTCATAGTTTTACTTGCTAAATCTGGCAACCCTGATGAGTCTTTTAACAGATACTACAAGGAAATGAGCTTTAAGCTAAAACGTAAGGCTTAATTGAGATTTACTAGATTAAATTATCTACTGCCAGTCCAACCAGCAGGAAGAGAGAAAGGGAAGTAGTTTTTAGCCTGGAGGTTGGGGAGGGAAGGGTGGAGAATGAATGCCTATTTTTATCTGCATTTGAAAGCCGGTTTATTGCCAGCACAAACATGAAAGCTATAAAATGCAGCTCTCAGATTTAGTTTTTACAAAGGCCACTATAAATAATGAATACAAAAATACACCACAACTCTACAGTAGTGTTTCATGGTGAATTTTTATGGAGCCTTTGAAAATTAAGTATAGCCGGGATCATCTTGATTGTAATGACCCAATTTTGCCTCTCTGTAACCCTTGAACTTTCTCCTCCTCCTGGGTTTTCAGAGCCTCCTTGCCTTTCATCTTCCCTGGGTGGTTCATGGCTTTTAGTCCCTCAGCAGGAAACTGGGACAAAAACCCTGCCTAGCTTTGCAGCCTCTGCAATCTGGGTCAAAACACTCATAGAGGGCTTCTGAGTTTCACAAGTTTTCGATTTCTTTTTTTGAAAGATTTTGGTCAATTAAAGAATCATTTTAAAGATTCACCTTTTTGTGGCTTATTATGAAATAATTCCTTGAGTCTGTTTAAATCAATTTCAGCATATCTCACTGAAGTGGCTGTTGGCATTCTTAAGTAAACATAATTTTTTTGAGCTCAGAGGCCACTGTACATTTACTTCAGTATTTCTGTGGCCATTTGCTGGTTTTCCTTTAGATTATAGTCATTTTAGTTGGTCTGTTCTTTGTTTATTAAAATGTTGACATTCTGGGAGCTCCATTAGAAATGTTCAGGGTCCCCTCGTAGGGGGGTTGGTTAGCAGCTAAGGTTCCCACTACTTCAGCACAAACCTGGGTTAATGGGGCCATAAGGTTTGCATTGCCACCTCCAAGAATTGCTACATAACAGGTGAAAGCCTGTATCATTTCCTCAAGGTCCCCTCAATAACTAGATGATCCAAATTGGTAACTCAGAGATTTGGAAATGTGCCCAGTATATGGATGTCCAACTTGTCCAAACTTCTTAGCAGCACAAAGTAAACCCACATGTGTTTTCTGAATATCCATATAGTATAGAATATTGTACACACGAGATTTTGAAAAAAATGCACTACAGGAACTCAGGGCAGAATAGTATCTTATTTCAAATGAATGTGAAACATATTGCCAAAGGGTTATATTTGGTATCATAGCATGAAACTTCTGATTCATTTTTATGATTAATTTTTCTTGTTGTTGTTCTTCTTTTTTGCAGTGCACTAATTCAGTTTTTCCAGTTGTTCCCTGAATATAAAGATAATGACTTTTATGCCACTGGGGAGGTGAGTTGAAGTCATGTTTTCTTGTGTTCCTCAAATATCAAGACTGAAATATATTAAGCCAGTATATTCATTTAAAATATATATATACATATACGTGCATGCACAAGTATCTATGTGTGAATATTGATTCAGCCCATATTCAAAATTCTCTAATTATCCCCCAAATATATTCCAGAACATTTTTTAAAAATCGAGGACTCAATAAAAGTTTGTATAATACCATGGTTGCAATGGGTTGTCATGTACTCAGTCCCTGCCTTATTTGCTGTTGCTGTCATTCATGAAGATGATTTTGAAGAGCCCTGGCCAGACGCCTTGTACAATGTTCCATATTCTGAATTTGTCTGATTCTTTCCTCCATGCTTAGATTATGTCAAAACATTTTGGCAAGAGCACTACATAGATGACGCTATGTACTTTCTGTTGTATGACATCAGGAGGCACGTAATGTCAGTATGTCCCTTACTGGTGATGGTAAATTTGATCCCTTTGTCAAGGTGGTGTCTGCCAGATCTCGCCGTTGTAGAGACACCTGTTTCTGTTTGTAATTAATTAATAATCTGAGACCATGTGAACATCTGTACCCCCTGAATCTGTCACCCAATAGTTTTAACATGCATCGATGATCTTTGTCTGAATCAGTTATTACACTGGGGGTTATAAAATGGTAATTTTTCTAATATCTTTCTATAGATATCATCTGGCATTCTTCTGTAAAGAAGAGTTTTCCCTCCTTCTCTCTATTATTTACTTCTAAAATGGTTACTGTAGACTCATGGACATGTATTATTATTCCTATTTGGTCTGTTAAAATTTATTGCTATCATTATTGTTTTTGATGCTTATATTGTTCTCAGTTTTGTCAATGGGAGCCCCTTCAAGCTGTGCCCTTTTAACAGGTCCCCATTACTCTCTGCGCATTTCCTTGGTTTTTGGCACAAATATGTGTTCCAGAAACATCTTGTACTTTCCCTCCTCTAACCCTGAAATCAGTTATTTCTTCAAGGGGCCCTGATTCCTTTTCATGGGAAATGGTATCTAAAAACTAAGTCATGAGCACTGAAGGGTGCTCATTGCTACTGGGATGTCACTTCTTTGAGACTGTCTGTGGGCAGAGCTAGGAAACAAAATGAGTTCATACTGAAACCTGTAATTCTAAAACCACACCAAAAGGTGCTCTTCTTTCCCCGTTCCGTAGCTGTGTGCCCCTCCCACACTGAGGACTGTGGTTCCCAGCAGCAACGGTGGGCTTGCTCTTTTGCTCAGTCCTACGATATGCCCCAAGTGGTTTCAGAATTACTGTTAATGCATCAGTTCCATTACCAACAAGAAACCTCAAGGTTACTTCAATATTTTTTGGCTGCGATTATTTTTATCTTTAGATGGTATCTCACTATAATCTTATCATCAAAGTGCTGTGTTTAAAAGTTATCAGAATTCTATTTTTTTTTTCAGAGTGATTATGTTATAATGTAATACACAGTTAGGTTCCCTTGTTGATGTTGGTTTCAATTTTTGAGTTTTCATTTTTCATCCTTTTCAATTTAAGATTATTTTTTAAAATGTATACCAGTCATTGTTTTGAGGACACAGTTATAGTTCTAAGTGCTAGGAATATAACGGTGAATAAAACAAACAAAATCCCTGTCCTCATACATTCTAGAGATAAATAAAAAAATGTGTACTAGGTCCTATAGCATCAGACAGCGAGGAGTGTCACGAAAAAGATAAAATAGGGCAAGGGTTCGAGTGCGATAGAGGTGCTAGTTTGGATAAGATTGTCTGGGCAAGGCTCACTGACAAGGAGATGATTGAGCAGAACCCTGAATGATGTGGTGGAATGATTTCTGCAGTATCTGGAAGAAGAGCTTTCCTGGCAGAAGGAATCGCAAATGCAAAGACTCTGAAGTAGGAACAGGCTTGGTGAGTTCGAGGAAGAACACAGAGCCATTAGGGTAGCAGCTGAGATGAGAGACACAGGCAGATCCCGTGGGATCCTGCCGCCCATGGCAAAGAGTTTGGACTTTCTTCTAAGTGTAGTGGGAAACCATTAAGGGTGCAACATCCACTGAAAGAGTATTTAGAATCAAATTCAATTCAACACAGGTATATTGAGTATTACTATGTCCGAGGCATTGGAAAGTATTAGGAATTCAGTAAGACATTGACTCTGCCCTAAATCTGAAGGTCTAATAATTACAATGCAGAATGAAAGGTACAATTAGGAAAGTGGCTAGAAAGACAAATAGCCACAGGAAAGGTGCAGATAGATACCTCTCAATGTGGGATCCTCAGGAAAGGCCAAGCAGAGGACGTGGACTGGGTTTTGAAGAGTGAACAGGGGTGTATTAGTCAAGGCTCTTCTACTTGCCAATGACAGAAACCCCATTTAAAGTGGCTTAAGTAAAACAGGGGATTGATTGATTTAGCATCAGGCCCGGCTGCATGTGGGTGCTCATAGCCTATCATCAGGACTTTGTCATTCTCTCCTGATCTGTGTAGTTGGCTTTGTACCTTCTCTGGTTTTGTTCTAAGGCATGGGTTTTTGTTTTTTTTTTTTTTTTTAATTTCAAAATATTAAGGAGGTACAAATGTTTTTGTTACATGAAGTTTTTGAAATGCTTGAGTCAGGGCTATAAATGTGCCCATCACCCAAATAGTGTTCATTGTACACATTAGGTAGGCTTTTGCTCCTCCCCTGCCCATCCCCCTGCTTGATTTCCAATGACTTTTGCTTCCTTTTGTGCACATATGTGCCCCTTGGTTAGTTCCAATTTATTAGAGAGTACATGTGGTGTTTGTTTTTCCAGTCTTGATACTTCACTTAGGATAATGGCCTCCAGTTCCATCCAAATTGCTGCAAAAAGCACTAATTCATCCTGTTTATGGCTGAGGTAGTACTCCATGGTATATGTATACCACATTTTGTTAATCCACTCATGAACTGATGAGCACTTGGGTTTATTCCACATCTTTGCAATTGTGAATTGTGCTGCAATAAACATTAGAGTGCAGGTGTCTTTTTGATAAAATGACTTCTTTTCCTTTGGGTAGATACCCAATAGTGGGATTGCTGGATCAAATGGTAGGTCTATTTTTAGTTCTTTGAAAAATCTCCATACTGTTTTCCATACAACAACGTACACCGGGGAAAAGAAGCCCTAGTCAATAAATGGTGCTGGGAAAATTGGATAGCCACATGCAGAAGAATGAAACAGGACCCCTATCTTTCATGACTCACAAAGATTAATTCAAGATGGATAAAAGACTTAAATGTAAGGCATGACACCATAAGAATTCTAGAAGAAAATGTAGGAAAAACTCTTCTAGATATCAGCCTAGTCAAAGAATTTATGACTAAGACCCCAAAGGCAATTACAGCAACAACAAAAATAAATAAATGGGACTTGATTAAATCAGGTAGGTTCTTTTACTCTGATACTCCTGCTTCTCCACCCACCCAAGAGCAGCTGTAGCCTACCAGCTCAACTTTTCCTTCCCAGTAATCCATCCACATTCCTGAATCTCATACGATCCATTTGGATTCTATGCCCATACTAGCACCAATAACCGGGGACAGGGGGTTGCAATATACAGATTGGCAGAATGGTGTCTGAGGCCCACCCCAGCACCTGGGAGGGCAGGGATCACAGTGGGGCCCTCACCGTCGGAACCACAAGGCCTGAGAGTGGGAGGTGAGTGTCTCCAGGGAAAGATCCCGTGATGATACCAGAGGAAGAGCTGGAAGGGTACTGGGTTAACACATCCACAGATGTCCACCCTAAGGGAGTGAAAGAGAAAAATAGTCTCAGTTTGTCCAAGGAGTGGCAAGTTGATGGAACTAAGAACTTTCTTCTCTTGTGCCCGCTTTCTTCTCTTTCTAAAAGCTGTTTGGAAAGGCTGTTCTGACTGCTTAGCGTGCTTCATTTCAGGTTTTTTAAGCCGATTATCCAGTGAGGATTGCTTAGGACATTTACCAGTAATTCCCTGCTGTTCCTTGCCTTTTAATCCGTTTCAGAGGCAGGTTGGGGAAAGGGGCAGGAAGTGACACTCCCATCATTTGGCAGCAACCCTGGAAAACGCCCATTCTCTACCTCCAACAGAAGAGTGATCTGCTTTGTGTGAAATTCCTTGTCTTGCAAATAACGTGGTGATGTTGTGAACCATGATGCTGATGTTGATGTAAACCAAGATGTGTGGCAAGGCTGCCAAATCCTGGATGAAAAATTTGGCTTGTCTATTTCACGTCTGCCTGGTAGTTTTATGCATGTAATTCCCAAATGTGTGTAGAAAAGGACAATTTTCTTTTTACCTTCTCTGCTGTCAGGATGAATACCGCTACGAAAACCTGTGCCTTCCAAGTGATGAAGGAAGACGTGAACGCAGGGACAGTCAGGGCCGGAGGTAGACGTTCAGTTGCCAGGTAGCAGCATCTTTTATAAGAACTTCACGGGATACATTCAGTCTGGGGGCACGTCTCTTCCTAGAAGGAAGAATACTGAATAATGATGCCTTGATGGTTTTTTATTATGACTAGCATGTTATGTTTCTCCAGTCTAGTTTGTTCTATCTGGGTCGTCTTCTGTTTGAGGGCCACGAGGCAGAATGGAGAAGTAACGTGCATACTGGATTAGTAATTAGGAGACCTGGGATTCAGGGCTGGCTTTGCGTCTCACTGGATGATTCCGGGAAAGTCTTTTAATCTCCTGGGCCTCTGCTTTTCATCTTACAATCAGAGAGGTTGGTTTTTAAATTAGATCACTTCCAGGGATATTTTGCTTTGCTAGAAGTTCAGCTGTCGTTACCTAGGCTTACTCTAAAGGCATCTGTATATAATTGAAATTTTAACATAGTACCAGCCCACCTTCCCTCAATGTGCTAATACCACCAGAAAAAAAAAAAGTTGTTCTAGATTTTTTAAGAAAGTAAAATCCTTTCTCTTCTGAACTCTTAATTTTCTCACACTCTTAGGAAAGCTAAACCAATAATGCTGCTCAGTT